GGAGAACTCTGGGATTTCAGATCTGACCTGCATAGAGCTCTGGCTGGGCTCTCCGTGGGCTGCTCATGCCTGTGCTCCCCAGGTCTCCGGGCCCTGGGGAAGGAAGCACTGGGCATGGGTGCAGGGCCAAGGCTCCCCGGTCTGCCTGGGCACCAGGATGCGTGAGGCCCTGTGTCCCGGGTGCCTGCTCGGAGGGAACCGTCCTCTGCTCCTCAGTGTCTCAGCCCGTCCTGGTGCATCACTGCTGTCGAGGCCCCCGCCATGAGCCACCCAGGAGTCCAGGGCCTGAGTAGCGCCAGGGAGATGAGCAGAGGTGTAAATTGTATGGCGAGCTGCCGGCTCTGAGGTGAAAATGAAAAGTCTTCAGGCAATGGCAGCAGCAGGCACAGCAGGCTGGGGTGCCAGGCCCAGCACCTCGCCTCCCCACCCTGTTCACTCACACTTCCCCTTCTGCAGTCTTCCCCAAGCTGCTGCCCAGGTCCGCCCCTGCCTGCCTGGCTCCTTTGCCATTTAGGGGCTTCCCAGTCCCTGGGCTAGACCTGATCCTTGATCTCTTGCTTCTGTTACAGTTTCTAATTTGGTGACTGGTGCACAGAAGAATGGGCTGTGTTTTGGTTAGTGGTGACTTAATGTTTGTGATAGTTCAGTCATCGTTCTGATTTTTCCAAGTACACAGTTGTCTTATCTTTAAATAATGGTACTTTTATTCATCCTTTCCAGATCCCTACTTTATTTGAAATCCTTTCTACTCCCTTTATTGGGGAAGTTGAGGCCCAGAGGGAAACCACTCATTTGTCAGTAGCTAGGCCAAGGTCCTGGGCTCTCTGTGACACTCCCTGTGCCCTCTGTCCCCTCCCTGGCAGTCTTTCTCCCTTCTTGTCTCTTTTTCTGTCATTTTCAGAGCTTTGGGCCTTGCTGCCACTAGAGAAAGGAGCAGGGGAGGACGGTCGTTAGCCCTTCTGCAGACCCCACCCTCCCCCCACATCCCACAGACAGGCTTATGTTCCTGGCCAGGAGGCACCGGGCGTTCTGATGGAGATGAGAGGAGGCCAGAGAGAGGGAAGTCGCGGGCAAGTTCCTGGGTAGAATAATAACACCTTGCTGCATTCAATCCACAGCCCCCCTGCTGCGCTCCCCGCATCCAGCACTTTGCACACGTGACGCCAGCCAGCTGCCTGTGGGGCGTCCAGGGTCTGAGCCCCCATCGCAGGGACTGCTGGGTGCAGGCGGGTGCACGTTGGTGTCTCTGTAATTAAAAATGAGCATGCATCACTTCACCCAGCAAGATGCCACCACCTTGGGTGGGATGCAACAGCTGCTTGCTGGTTGTGTGTCTGCCTGGCTCTCCAGCCTGGCATAGAGGGGTGGGTAGGACTGGGCAGCAAAGGGTAAGCAGAGAGGGCCCAGGACCTCTCAGCCCCACGAGGCAGGAGGTAAAGGGCTGTGATGGGGTGGGGATGCATCAGGCCAACCTCTTCCTTTTCTGGGCCAAGAGTTTGTGTAGGAGGTGTGCGCCCATTCTTGGCCCACACCCATGTTCCTTTTGGGCATTGCCGTCTATCTCTGAGCAAGCCCAGCCTGTGGGCAGCCTGGGAGTGAAATCCGTTCTTGGCCCCTAGTGTGGGCCTGACCTCGTCTGTCTTTCACCCACTCCATACCTCTAGCTAAAGCCAGAGCACAGGCTGAGGTTCTGAGAGCAAAGCACAGAGTGGTGATAGCTGAGGTCCTCTCTTTCCTCCTTCCTCCCTCTCTGGGTTCAGAGACTTTCTGAGGGCACCATTGTGTCTCTTCCCCCTCAGAGAGGGCCTGATGGTTCCTGTGAGCCATGTGCGTGAGTGGGCCCTGGGTGGTGGGCTTGTCAGGTGACCAGTGGCCAGAGGCCAGAGCAGGGTCCCGCGTCCTGGCAATGCTTCCGCATGCTTCTGGCTGTCTGGGTGGTCCAAGCGCGGGTGTCAGAGCTGGGAGTACCGAAGGCCTATCCAGGCTCCTTTATTCACCAGGCCCAGCCCAGTGTGGCATTGAGCTGGTGTCCTTGGCCATTGGCAAGCCTATGCTCCAAGGGCTCCCTGGGGCTGGCTGTGGAGGAGGCATCTGGCCTCGCCTTCCTCCAGTGATTTTTCCATGCTTACCCGCTCACCGACATGTTGCCTGGGCTGCAGCCCCTGTGGTGCAGTGAGGACCTGAGAGCCCTCCTTTTTGCCCCCAGAGGCTGCGCCTGGCTGGGAGGGACAGGGCTTGTCCTCTCTGTCCAGTCTTGCAGGGACAAGGCATATGGCCAGGCCGGCCTCTCGTTCCCTGTCTGCAACCCCCAGTAGACTCATTCCTGCCCAGTGAGCTGAGTATGTGGGGGAGAGGGCTGTCCCAGGAAGTCTTATAAGAACAACTAGAAGCCCCTTTACTTGCCTGTGGGCTGAAGTTGGACATTCAGCCCTGTGCCTGCCTCATCCCCGCTTCTCCTCTGCCCCAGTCTGCATTTTGACAGGATCCGACATGTATTACAGTGGTTTGGGGTTGAGCAGTCAACAGGACTTTAATTAGCTTCGAGCTTCCCCCCAGTAGGGAGGGCCAGGGGTCCCCAGGTGGCAGGGCTGGGACCAGGCTGGGTGTGGGTCTGAGGCAGATCTGGGCAGCCGCATCTCCTCAGGAGGCTGGCAGGGCGGGAGGGAGACGCAGAGGAGGGAGGGCTGTGTACCCAGGCCACAGTTTTCTCTTCAGCCTCTGTAACCCCTATTCCTGTTCTCCCCGATGGCTTTGAGATGAAGGCAACGACAAGGATGGAGGATGCAGTTTCCATGGCAACAGGGCTGTCCACAGCTAGGCAGCTTCAGAGCCAGGCTCTCTGGAGGAGGCAGATGTGTAGAGCAGCCGCAGAGTTGCCTCCTGCCTGCCAACGAGGGGGCTGGCAGAGCAGGTGGTACAGGGTAGATGCCTGGTCCTGCCCACCCTAGTGCCCAGCCTAGAAGAGAGGGTGGAAAGAGCACTGCCCCCTGTTATCATCTCTTAGGCCACGGACCTCCACAGTGGAAGTTAGGGCTGTGGCCTGAGTGTTGGTGGGCTGGAGCAGGGTCCCCACTGTCCCTGGAATCTGTGGGTGGGCGCAGGCTTTAGTCTCTGAGAGAATCCCCAAAACAGCTCCTAAGATGGCTCATGGCCACTCAGTGGCTGTACTTATGTCCTGTAGGTGTCCAGCTCCTGTGGATGGGGGTGAAGGTCATGCCCTTCCTGGATCTGGGAACCCTTTCTTCCCTCAAACTACTGGGGAAGCTCTGGGGCCTTCAGAGAGCCTCCTTGGCCCTGGCCTTGGTAGCCTGGCCCAGTTTGCTGGGTGGGGCTAAGTGTGGACAGATACCCACCCCCAAGGGCCAGTGTTGGAGGGGCCCAAAGCCTGGTAATGTTTGCTTCCTGTATCGTTTTTGTCGGTCTCCAAAGGGCCAAGGCTGTGGTGGACATGTGTGTGGGCGGAAGAGCAAGGCAGCTGTCAGAAACAGCAAAAGTGTGTTCAGGGACAGCAGAAACTGGGGCGTGGACCTGTGGGCTGAGGGGCCAGAGCCACCAGGTTGACAGAAATGGATTCCAACTACGAAAACTAATGACTTTGCGTCAGCGACTTGGATGCACTGGGTCCAGGGTGTTGCCCTCTGAGGTTGAATACATGGAGATGCAGGATGCAAGGCTTTGCCTGGGCAACTCATGGAGTTGGAGGCTGAGCTGCAGCTGCGCTGGGCCAGGTTATGTGACTTGCTGGTGTACACTCCCTCCAGTTGGCACTGAGGGTCCTGCTGGATTTGCTGTTCAGGCGGCTGCCTCTTTTCCTGGTCCCTGAGCAGGTCCGTTGGTACCGCCCTCTTCCCTGACATTAACTGGGAGAGCTTCTTCAGCACTGCAGTCGGCTAGGCAGGCCGACAAGTGGGGTCCTGGAGTGGCTTCTCTGAGCCTGGCCGTGAGTCTCTCATTACTGTGAAGTGCAAGGCTCCTCTCAGAGCTTGTGCTGAGAGCGGCGGGTGCTATAAATATCTGTGCTGTGAAGGTTGGCAGGTGAGCGGTGACGGGGCTCACAGTCATCTCGGTGGGTAACCGCTCTGTCAGGGGGAGGCGGGGAGGCTCTGCGGCAACAGACACTTGACTCTTGTCCTCACTGTCGTGTCTGCCTCAGGGCACCTCTGGTGTGTCTGCCTGCTTTTACACTCGGGGGACCGGGAGCATGGGGGCCTGTGTTCAGGCAGAGCGGAGTGGGATGCGTTCAGAGTTTGGGGCCCCTAGAAGCTGGTCTTTCAGCCCAGTGGGAAATGTCCAGTGCTAGACCCACATGTTGTGCCTGCTCCTCCTGCTCAGCCTCCTCTCCCTTATCTGAACCTCTGGCCCTGGGAGAAGGCGTGGGAACAGCACTTGATGGCTCAGAGGCTGACGTGGTTCCAGGAGGGGTCACAGCCCTAGCAGGGGGATGGGAGCAGAAGCAGGGTCCGAGATGTGTCTGCTGGCAGAGGCTAGAGAGATCCCAGGGTCAGAGACGCTGGCCTCAACTAATATTTCTGGTTTAGTTGGTGTTGTCCAGGGTAAAGAGGATGTCAGGGACAGATGGGGGTTTGGGGCTGGAAAGTCTGACAGGTTAGACCTTGATTTGGGAGCCTTGGGGGTTCTTAGAACCCCTGTTCTGGATGGTCTAGATGTGCTGAGCTTCATAACTCTGTGAGACTAGCTTTTTGGTCCCAGACATACATGCAGAATTAGCAGTGTTAGGCTCTTGGGTTCTTTTAGCCCTGTCCTGAAGGGTTGTTAAGGGTTCCTGGGTCCGTAGACCACTATGCCCTAGAGTATAGGGGGGTTCTTAGGGGGGGCCTGCTCTTAGGGAGGGCTTTGCAGGTGCCTCCCTCAGTAGGGGTTTTCAGGCACAGCCAGCCCCTTGGGAAAGGACAGATAATAGACAGTTCTCTAGCCACCCAGGGACAAGGGGGTTGGGGTATGTGTAGGGCTCATTCCACTTTTTCCAACTCTCTGGCTAGGAACGGAAGCTGTGTGCCCACCCTCGGCTAGAGATCTACCAGCAAGACCAGATCCATTTCATGTGCCCACTGGCACGGCAGGGAGACTTCTATGTGCCGGAGGTGAAGGAGACAGAGCGGAAATGCCGGGGTCTTGTGGAGGCCAGTGATGCCCAAGTGGACGATACAGGTATAGAATGGGGGGGTGAGGGCAGGACCCTGCCGGGAGCCCCTCTTCTGGATATCCAAGGGCACGGTGAAGGAGGCCTCTGTGTGTTGGCACTGTGTCAGGCATGTTTGACAGAGGGAGGAAGGACACTCCTATCGCAAGACCACATGCAGAGTTGTCTGTTCCCAGACACATGGTTCCATGCAGGTGTGGGTGGTTTCGCACGTTCCCCCGGCAACACAGATACATAGCGCCCCTGTTGGGGTTCTCTCCAGATGCCCAGGAGTGCCCTTGGAAACGCAGGTCACAGATAGTTGGGTGCTCCTGGGAAGGGGCTGAAGCAGCTCAGGAAAGGAGTCGCTTGGCTGGGGCGCATCAGGATCTGGGAGGTGAGGAGGGATGAGGTGTTCTCCCACCCCTCACTCTGGGACCGCACCAGCACCAGCCGCTTTCTCCTCCCTCCTTTCTCCTCCAGGCCAGCTCGTGCACCTGCTGGCAGCCAGTGTCCAGGTCCAGGGCAGCAGGCCTCTCGCCTGCTCCCAGCCCACCTCCTGCCATAACTTTTTGTGACCCCAGGCTGTTGCCAGTGGTCCCGGGGGCCAGCCGTTTGCTGCCCTGCATGGAGCCTTTCTGACTCTGAATGAGTGTGATTTCTCGGAGTGGTACAGAGCTGGGGGGGTGGGGGGCAGGGGGCTGTCCCTTCTCCTCTTTCTCTAGGAGACGTTCCGCACATCCAGCCTTCAACAGCCAAGGTCACCCTCGAGAGACATGTGCAGGCAGGGGCTGGTGGGGGCAGGGTGCTGGGAGGCGGTCTCTGCTCCCAGGGGCCTGTGTCCAACACAGTTAACTTCATCTGCCACGTTAATTACCTCCATGGGGTACTGGCCCCTTCTGCCTGGTCGTGCCCGGCAGACACTGCTCCGTGCTCCTGCTGTGGGCACAGGACAAGGCACAAGGTCGGCAGCCCCAGGCAGCCCCCAGGACAGGAAGGAGGAGCACCTTGGCCTTCTGTGACCTCCCTCTGCTGCCTGACTACTCCCTCTGTGACACACCCACTGCTTCCTGTCCTCCCAAACACGGCCTGCTGGGAGTGTTGAAGGGCTGCTTGGCACCTGCTAGAGCTGGCTGCAGCTGCAGCTCCCGTACCCTCCAGCTCCTCGGCCTGCCCTCCCCACCAGCCTGCCCACCCCCTCCCGAGTGCGGGGGCTGACGGTCTGTCCACCCCTGGCAGGGCCTGTCTTGACACTGGGGGCAGACTCTGGGTATCTCCTGCCAGGTGCATGCCACTTAGCAGTGCCTAGTGGGTGCGTGGCCACCCAAGGCTTGGTCTGTCTCTGCCTGCCTCCGGGCTGGGCTGTGGCTTTGGCTGAGAGGCGAAAAGGGGTGATTAGCTGCCTTGTGCCTGTTATTACATTGATGTATTATTTAGCTCCAGAGAGGCGATGAATATTTGATCTCTGCACTGGCTGTGGGACGAGGGGGAGGAACTGGGGTGAAGGTGGTAGCTTCATAGCCCCTGGCCAGCAGCCCTGGGGCTGTAGCTGCTCCTCCCTTGCTGTGTCCTCTCCTTAGGGATAAGGCTCAGGGTGCTGGGACTCCCTCCTGTGTGTACTTCACTGGGGCTGTGGGGACGCCACTCCCCGGCCTTCACCTTCTTCATCCCAAGTGCCTGGTCTCCCTGCCTCCCAGCATGCTGAGCCCTGGGCTGAAGGAAGCCCCCATGGGCTGCTTCCTCTGATCACTTCTAGCTCAGGGGTGGTAAAGGAGGCAGCCAGCTGGGAAGCAGAGGTCTCCAGAGTCATTGGGTGGGTGGCAGGCAGAATTTGGCGGTAGTGGGTCCAGGGAGGAGCTGCCTCCCTCCTGGTACCTTTAGGTCTGCAGCCTCTGGACACTGATGATGGGGGCAAGGAGCTGGCGCCCTGCCCCAGAGCTCAGCCTGGGCTCCCGCTCCTCTGTGTTAGCATGCCTTTATGTAGAAGCCATGCCTGGGGCCCCACCAGCGCGAAGGTCCTGGGCAGCAGGTTGGCACTTTCAGGACTCACTCTTCCACTGAGGCCCAAGAGGGCATCTTCTGGGGCCAAATAGGTTGGGCAAACAGGTCTCAAATTCCCTCACTTTCAGTGTAGGCCCCAGCTGAGGTTCAGGGACAGCTCCAGGCCAGTCCAAATGCAGAGTAGTCCCTAGATGCGTCTGGCTTTGGGCTGTATCACCATGGAAACGGGAGCTGGGGAAACTGGCCCATCCCTCACCTTGTATGGTGGCACATTGTGGGCCTGAGTTCTGGGTTCTTCCTTGCTGCCTTCTAGCTGCGCTCCGTGCTCTGGTCTGGAGAGATGAACGGAGGGGTCGTTCCTAGTTAGGGAAGATGAAGAGCCACTTGCTTAGAGGATGTACTGGGTTGGACAAGCAGATGCGGGAGGACCTGGGCTGTCGCTGGCCCAGCACGGCTTGGGTGCTGCGCAGTCACTGGGTCCCTTTTTGCTGCCTTGTACAGGAAACAGCAGTGGCGAGGGACAGGCTGTGGAGGGGGAGGGTTCCTCTGGGTTGGCCCAGGTGCAGGGGAGAGGGTCTGTATGTCATCCCAGAGCCCTCCTTCTGTGACTGCTTGAGTGCTTGCTGAGACTTCCCTCTGTGTGCCTCAGGCCCCTCCGCAAGTGTGGAGACCGATGGTGGCCAGAGGGAGGGGCCGGCCGACTTCCTGGACACAGCTGTTCCTTTGAGAGGTCGCGTGGGGGTGGGCACTGGGGAGGCCTCGCGTCCATTCTTGGGTCCTCGGGCCTAATGGGCAGTGTTGGGTGGCTGGCCTTGGAAGACAGCCTTCCAAGCCTGACACTTCGCCTCTTTGTTCTCCCCTCAGCTCCTCACCCTGGGGCCGCGTAGCCCTTAATGGACTGGACTGGGGGCAGCAGGCTTTGTGGGAGTGCGGGAGCGAGGCTAATTCAGGGTGAGGAGGGGAGTGTGCGGCCAGCTGCTCCCCGCTTCCTCCCCCGCCCTCCCATGCTCTCAGCCCTGTGGCTTCAGCCCCGGTCAGGGCAGAGGGCAGCTGGAATGGGTCTCCTGAGCCGAGGTGGGCGTGTTACTCGTGAGCAGCTGGGTGTGCTCAGGTGCCACGCTGCTGGTGGGCTCCTGCTCTGGAAGAGGGACCGTGGGTGGGGGTGCCGCGGTCCCGGGTAACCTGTGCTCCCTTGTCCTGGCCACAGGAGCAGACAGGACCAGTGACACGAGTTCTGTCAGCCTGGAGGTGGGCCCCGGCAGCCGGGAGACTTCAGCCACCACGCAGTCCCTGGGGGCGAGCAGCCGAGGCTGGGATGATGGCGATGACCGCAGCGAACACAGCTACAGCGAGTCAGGCGCCAGCGGCTCCTCCTTTGAGGAGCTGGATCTGGAGGGGGAGGGGCCCTCGGAGGAGTCCCGGCTGGAACCTGAGGCCAGACCCCTGGGGGCCCCTTCAGGACCTCAGAACCCCTGAGGAGGGGGAGCGGTCGCTGTGCCCTGTGCCCCTCGAGGACCTGAGCAAGCTCTCCAGCCCTCTTCCTCGTTTCCTTCCCCACATGGCCTGGGGCCTGGGGCCTGGGGCTCTGACCTCGCCCACCCCAGGGCTCTGGCCCAGCCTGTCCCTCGTTGCCCTCTGGCTCACAGGGCTGGAGGAGCCAGGGTCTGTTGCTTGCATCAGCCCCCTGGGTGGCTGCCCCGTGGTCTTTTTTCAGCCTCATATTGGAGCTTCCAGAATCCAGAATAAAACAGATGATTTTCTTGTTTCCTCTTGATTTGAGTTGTGTGTGTGTTGGTTCTGTGTTGGGGAGCACTGTGCAGATAGGCTGGGGTGGGCAGGAGCCTCCCAAGCACAAGGAGGGGAGGCTCCCTGGGGTGAGGGGAGGGACATACTGGACGCCCTTCACTCCTGCTCTGTGACCCCAGTGGACAGCCACCCCTGCAATGCAGTGGCCGTCGGGGCTCCCCTGGGCCGATGAGAAGCAGAGCGAGAAGTGTGAGAGCTAAGCACAGGGGCCCTGCGGGGCTCAGAAGAGGGGAGTCACAGCTTGCCGAGGTCTGCTTCCGAGGATGTCTTTCTGTGTCCGTGGCGCAGGTGTGTCTGTGCTCACGCTGGGACCTCTCCAGCAGGTGCAGACCCGCTGTGCTGGCCGGTGCCTCCGTGGCTAGGGATGTACCTCCAAGCACAGATGGGGCTGTTGGTGGTGTTCCTGGGTGAGTGGGCCCCAGTGAGCATCGAGATTGATGGTGGCCAGGCCTGCCTGACGTATATCGCTGTAGGAGGCTGAGGCAGGAGGATCACAAGTTCAAGCCCAGCCTGGGGACCTTAGTGACTTAATAAAACCCCGTCTCAAAATAAAACTTTTTGTTTTTTAAAGGGCCAGGGATATAGCCCAGTGCGTGGGCTCTGGGTTCAATCCTCAGTACCACACACAAAAAAAGTGCTTATCACTGGGCGTGGCTGCATGTGCATGGGTGGTTGTATGGCTATTGCACGTGGTGCTGTGCTTTGTGTGTTCAGTGGTTTGGGTTATGTGCTAGGGACGTGAGCGGCTGGGATGCTGAAAGTGTCTCTGGGGCCTTGTCTGTATACAGTGACCTGTGGCTTTGTATGGGTGTGTGTTCAAGTGTAAAGGCGTTTGTTTTATTTTGTATCCACAGATAAAGATATGAGTCTGTATTGCTGTATGTCCGTGATCACAACTGTGAATGGGGCATGACAATGCTTAATGTGGCCATGTGTCTTTACGTAGGTACTGCTAGGACCTTGTGGCCGTGTCCATGTGTACATCTGTGTGTACACGGCTGTGTCCATGTGTACAGTTGTGTGGGGGAGTCATGTACTTTCGGGTATTGTGTACATGTGCAGTAATTATTACAACTGTATCTGCCTATACAATTGTGTGTGTCACCATGTCCACATGCCAAGTTATGTGTGTAAAACTACGTATATGTATTTGTTCTTGTGAAACAGTCTTGCTGTGTAGTTTAGGCTGGTCTTGAACTCACTATGTAGCTCAAACTGGCCTCAGACTCACAAGGATCCTCCCGCCTCAGCTTCCCAAATGCTGGGACCAGAGGTATGCACCATCACACCCAGCTTGGTGTGCGTCCTTGCAAGCTGTGTGGAAGGCCCCCTCTCTGCGGCTGTGTGCAGCGATGTCTGTGTAGAAAGCCTGGCGTCCTTTGTGACGCTCTCTTGGTGAGTGGGCTGGCTGTGTGACCGGGATCGATGTGCAGCTCTTCTCACCTCAGCACCCTCCTGCTGTCATCCCCGCTGCTCCAAAGCCTGGTCCATCGCTCACCTACCCCAGGGAGCGGTTGCTCTGAGCCAGCCAGAGGGTGAGAGCAGTTGGCGGCAGAGCTGGCGCTGGAAGACAGCACGTCTGTCTCCCCAGCTCTGTCTGACAGCTCCGAGCCTTCATCGCGCTGCCACTCACCTATTAGTGATGGGTTTTGTATTTGGGTTTGATGTGTGGGTTTTGTTTCAAAGCTTGTTCCTCAGAGCGCAGGGGGCAGTGTCAAGCTTCCGTGTCCGTGGAGAAGCTGTCCTTGTGATCCTGCGCACCGCTGATGTGTGCCCCGAGGAGCTGGGCCTGGCGCTTTCATCAGCACCTCTCCGAGCTGATCCTGCCTCCACTGACACCTGTGGGGAAAAGGGCGGCCCCGGGGGAACCTGCAGGGCTATTACGCCCCTTCGCATTCACCAGTCTGTGCACGTCTGAGGGCAGATGACACAGGTCTGGGGCTAGATCTGAGCTCAGGTCCTCTCCCCAGACCCTTCAGCACGGCCTGGCTCTACAGTTTATCCACCACCCCTACGCAGGGTCGTCCTTACCCACCCCGTGGGAAGGAAGAGTCAGGAGCGTCTCAGAGCTGTCCTCCCTCTGCTGGGCTCCAGCGCTCCCTCCTGCCCACAGCAGCCAGTCGCAGGAACCTCTCCTCGGCCCCCTCCTCGCCCAGATCCCCGTGTCAGCCCAGCAGATCCCTCAGGAGCGACCCTAGTGCCGGCGCTGATGCCCCCCAAGGTTGATATCTCTGCAGTCGGTGCCCTTTGTACATTGGAGCGGGCACTCGTGGGAAGGAGGCCTTAAAGGTCATCTGCAGGAAGGAGGGGGAGGTCTGCTCTCTGACCTCCCCTCCCAGCGGTCTTTTCCTCCTGGTGACTAAGGTCCTAGCTCTCACGTGGGCCCTGATGTGTGGCCTGAGCTGCAGTTGCCGGGTGGCGGAACGGGTGAGGCCAGGGCCACACTTGCGGCAACAGGCCGGCGCTCCCTTCCTCCCGCACGCCCCTGTACCCATCCCCGCGCGGCAGCTCGGGAGCCTGGGTGCAGCCCCTCCGCCCTCACGGATGCGCCCAGAGCGCCGTGCTGTTCTCCTGGCTCAGCGGCCCCCTCTCCCTGTCCCGTGCCCTTTTCCCGCCGCTTCTCGGGTGCAGCGTGGGCTGCCCGCGGGGCGAAGGGACCTGCGAGGCGCTGCTCCGGCGCAGAGCCGGAGCGCCAGCGTTCAGCACCGCGCGGCGGACAGCTCCGGCCCCCTCGGAGCGCC